TCTTTAAAACTTTGATGTACAATATCGAATGAAATTAATAAGACAGTTAAGTTTTGTTAGTTATATATGTGCAGTGCATGTTCCAGCAGTAAATTAACTTTTATTTTCTTCCTGCTATTTTTTTTTTAAAAAAAAAGGGGGGGGAATACTTGGAGGCTCCGCCTCTGCTCGCTCCGTTCACCAGCCCCGGTAATTGCTACTCATTCTTTATTGTTTTTTAAACGTCAATATTTTATACAAGAACATAAAATACTTAGTTTTTAAGTTATACAATATTGTAACTTTATGCAAGAACATTCTGTTAATATGTTATTCGTTAAGAAATCGACGATTAACTAGGTTAGAAAAATAATCACCTGTATTTGAAAAAAAATTTTTATCTAAGAAATGCTAATTGTGGGACTGACGTGACTTACAGTAATTCAAATACGAAGCAGTTTTTATCCCTCTTTATTAATTTCTTCTTTTTATATTTAAAAATTTCACTATAAACGTTAAGATTTATATATCTTTTTTTTTTTTTTTTTCAGCATACCAAATTTTAACTCAGTAGTACAGGCGCTTGTATTTTTTCCTTCAAATTTAACAATTAATAAATCTCGAACTAGCTATCGAGTATTATTTTTTTTCCCTCATCGCTCTCCTCGTACATTTTTCTATACACCATCGCATTTTCATGTTTCTGAGTCACATAGTTTCTGAGCGACAGAGTAAATTGTAACATTAAGTTAAATACCCATAACAGCGGCGACGGCCCTTAGGATTTTTTTATGTAACGAGAAATAGTTTAATTGCAAGTACAATTTAGAAGCAATTATCACATTAAGTCACTAATATATTTGGAAGACGTTGAGTTTCAATAACCCTCCGCGTACCGCTCAGTTTAAAACTAACTAAAAACGGAAAGATTTTTTTTTTTATCTGCATGTATTACAATTCACATCTTCATCAGTTGTTTTAAAATAATATAAGAATTTTATTAGCTTTTAAGTTTTCAAAACATATATTGCGGCGCCCGCTATTTCAGCGGGCAGGGTTTATAAGTGAAAAAAATTCATGCGATATTTTTATTTTTAGTCGAATATAATTTTTAAATATTTTGCCTCGAAAAATGTTGCAGAAATTTTGTAATAAAACAGAAAAAAATAAAATAAAAGCCCAGATTTATGGAATATTCCGAATCCGAATTACTGTCTTCATAATCAAGATATTTTCGTTTGTTATTCCCACACATAACGCCGCTGACACTAGTCAAATCAATATCTTTTATAAATGCTTATCACGTGAAAGAAAAACAAAAAGCAAGCGAACTCACAAATACGAGGGGAATAAAATCAAGCAAGAGAGAAAGAAAAAAAAAAATCCTGAACCCTCTAGTGCCATCTAGCAGCGAAAATAAGCATCAAATGATGCTTTTTTTTAAAAAAAAAAAAAAAAAAACCTTCACGAGGAAGGAGCGGGATCAGTATTGAAACAAGGGGAAAAATTCTTCTCCCGCGATATTCATGTGGCCCATGGTTTGGGATGAAACTGTTACCCCGCTCAAATCGCGAGAGCCATACGCAGAGAGTAAGTTCGCGTTTTAAAATCACAAAATTTCGCTAAAAAATCTCTGCGTGAACCATAGTTCTTAGAAACATATAGTATGCAACAATTAAGAGATAGAAAATGAAATTTTACTAGTTTTATACAAGTGTAAGAAACAACTACTCTTATAATAATAAATGATATTGTATAAAAAAATTCAAAATTAAACATAATATTTTTAAAAACCACGTTTTTGTAGTGGAGAACAATAATTAAAAAAAAAAATTTTAAAAACGAAAAACGTGGGGCGCATGAAATACACATCAGTAATGTTATATTAGTGTGCGTATGTGTGCTCTTGAGAATATGTGTATGTATATCTGTAATTGTATTAGAATGTGGAATATGTTTGTGTATATGTATGTGGATGTATATGTGGCTGTGCATGTGTATGAGTAAGAAAATGTGTATATGTACTGTTATGTATTTCATGCGCCCCACGTTTTTCGTTTTTCAATTTTTTTAATTATTATTCTCCACTACAAAAGCGTGGTTTTCAAAAATGTTATTTTTAATTTTGAATTTTTTTATTTTAAATTATAATTTTTTTATTTTATATTTTTTAAAAATNTTATAATAATAAATGATATTGAATAAAATAGTTGGGAAGACACTTTTGAGTTAGCCAAAGTAGTACCACACTTGGGTACTAACTACTACTTTGGCTAACTCAAAAGTGTACCGAAGTGGGATCAAATTTAATATTTAAGGATACCATTTAATTTTAGAGAATACAAAAAATTTTGCACAATGCATTATTTAAGTCTAATAAGCTAAATAAAGCTCGCAGGTTTTTGGTTCCCAAAAGTTTAGCGTCAGAAACGGTCACTAACTCAAATTGTTCTTATGAGAGAGTAAAATAAAAATCATTTCTAGCCTTCTCGGAATTAAGTCAAACCACAAGTCTGGGTTAAGTAGGGATTTGAGTGCTCTAACCACTCGGAAATCGGATGAAATTTCATTGCAATATTCCATTGTCATAAACACGAAAGCGAGTTAATAAAAACGTTGTAAAAAGATACAATAAATTAAATTTTGCAGTAAAGCTACACAAAAAGAACTTAAAAGTAGTAAAATTTTTAAAATATTATACTATTTCATTTTTACAATTTTTTAAATAATAGAAACTTCACTAATAAAAACTTCAATTTTCATTTGGTTGCATTTTTTGATTCACTTACTAGCACTCATTCAGAGATAAGATTTATAGTTATGACTTTATCAAATACTTATTCTGTTAAAACGTAGTACGTTTTACCAGAACAAAGCGGAAGTTTTTTCCTCAGTTAACTGTTTAGGAAATCCATTTAATCATGAAGATTTTGTTCCTGTACTCGAAGCTTTTAGTTGTTTAAGTGGAAAAGGGTTTTCTATAATTAATGAGACATAAATAAAAAATGCGGGTTCCACAAAAATCAACTGAGAGGTGACTACTAGAGCGTAATAACTGCTGCTAGAATAGCTGATGCACCTGCAGACGATTATGGGCCGTTAAGCAGACGAGATGCACTTTCATTTTGTTGCAGGTAAGGAAACTTATAATAAAAATAAAAAATTATATATTTAATTAATCGATTTATTTTTTGTTAATATTGTTCTTTTTAAAGATATTTTTTAGCATCATTGATTTCAATTTTATGTGAAAAAGTTTGAAATAAATTTATGAGGTAGTAAAAATTTTTCTAAATTCAGAAGATAAAATTTAAACACGACATTTTAGCTTCAATCTTTTATTTAAAACCATTTGTTAAAAAAATTTAAAACCGTAGATTGTATAGACCTTGTAACGATACATTTATTCTTACATTTCATCAACCTGAAAGTGATGCTGGCAGTATTTCGATTACATTAAAATCCAAGATCAGTAGAATTTGTTTAAAAAAATCATAAATAAAATAATCCAAAAGCTGTACTTCTTTTACATTTTCAAAATTATATATTCTTTAGAATAACGAAAATAAACATCCATAAGAGTTATTTGGTGACTAATAAGCTCCCTAAATCATCATTAAAATAGCTATTTCAAAGCTTATTTAAGATTACCCTGTACAAATCTTTTCAGAAATGCACATATTTGTTGGAAAAAGCTAATTAATATATCTTTAAAAAAAAAATAAAAAATTACCGAATCACACAAGATGCAAAAAAAAAAAAAAAAGTGTCAACTCAAAGCATTACAATACTAAATTTATGAATTGATACTAAATGTTCCGTTGTGATCAACCTTAATATATATCATTAGAAATTTGGTCAAGAACTTATTTAAATTAAGGGTCACAAATTAATATTTAAGAGAAGAAAAAACGTTTTTAAACTATGACCGATCACTGTTGAATTCGATAATAGCAAAGCCGGGATTAAAAACATCGAAAACCCGCTTATTAAAGCATAAAACTGAAAGGAGGTTCCTCAGAAACGCGAACACATTCAATTGCCAACAGGCTAATTAATTCATTTTAATTCCTTTTGTTCTTTCCGACCACAATAAAGATGTTTCCTTACGCTTCTGTTTTTTTCTCTAGTAGATATTAATTTGTGCTACTCTAATGTTTTTACAATGACTCTAAAATTATGCAGAGTGTACTGTAATTCCTTTCCTCAACTTATACTTTTAAGGTTCTTGTCGAAAGAAAAAAAACCCATACATATTAGGGATTGTAAATTAATATTTAACTGGGGAGAATGAAAAATTGCTATCAACATCTATCAAATCACTACTGAAGTAGGCCGAACTGAAAACACCTAAACCAATTTCATTGGCAGAAAAAATTTGGTATTGCTATTTGATCTAAGAGAAAAGAAAAACGCTATCTAAATCTAACGAATCACTATTGAGGAAACCGAACTGAAAACAGCTGAACGAGTTTAATAAAAAATGGTGTTTCTAACTATCAGGTATTCTTGTTGACAGTATCGCTTTCCTCAGTGGAGATTCGATAAATTTTGATAGCGTTTTTACCTTTTCATCTCCATATTCCATATTTATTTGCGATCCCTACTGTAGTAGTACATATATGTACGATTTTCTGACTTAATTTTTGACAAGAATTTTAAAATATTACTTAAGGATAAAAAACACTATGTGTATTAAGGAATGTAATACTTTGCATATTTGAAATCAAAAACGTAGTAACATCATGTTATTGGTTTTAGATCTACGGGGGTTTTCCAAAAATGGCATCCTGATTGATACTTGCTACTTCATTTCTATTTACTAATTTGATAGAAAAGGTTTTGGCATCTGAAACATGACTGAAACGCACCATCTCCTACCTCAACTAACGTTATTTTCTGCAAGAAAAAGTTCCCCACTTTGCGCATTTGCATCTTCAATACTTTTCATTTATATCTGTGGTATAGGCTTTTACATGTGGTCAGCTAATTTCTCATGTAGACTGCGAAATTTAGGCGATATGTTACCGGAAGCCTTAAGTGTGCAATCTTATGAAATGGAACAAAGAGGACGATATACCATCATTAAAAACTATCTTAGAGCAGCATTGCAACCAGATATCTTAAACACGATGACATTTGCAACGGCGGCTATATTTCCTGAGCTTAACCATCTGCCAGAAATTTGCTCGAGATGGAAAGGTCCAATGTCAGTGTCAGTTTATGCACCAGGATCCGACTTCAAATCTGCACTTCGAAAAATAATCAATTTGAGGTTGGCTAACCCATGTATCCATCAAAACGTGTCCTGGCATGTTTATTTTGATTTGGATTTTAACCCTTCATGGGGAAGGTTAAAATCGCCGGAAGAAGAAGCTGAGCTGACAACGACGACTTCAACCTCGTATCAAGTCTGGTTAAAGGGAACTTTCAAAAGTCACGGCAATTTGCCTTTTCCAGCAAATATCGGCAGGAACGTTGCCATTCAAGAAAGTAAAACAGACTATGTCCTCGTTTCTGATTTGCATTATTATCCGAGTGTCGACATTATACCTCGATTCATCGAGCTTTTAAAATTTCAAAAGACTTCTAAAAAAATTGTTTACGTCCTTCCAGTTTTTAAAATGGCAGGATATGGGAAACCTCCTGAAACTAAAAGCGAATTGGTACAGATGACAGCGGAAGGTAATATTGTCTTGCCAAGCAGTACTTTGGATTGCTCACAGTGCAATATTTTCCCACATGCAAGGAAATGGTTGGAAGTCAGATCTCCAGACCATACACTGTCTGTGTATTATGTGAGTCATGAAAAAGATGAATTTGAATCTTGGCAACCTTACTATATATCCAGGAGAGATATACCTTTTTTTAATGAAGAGGAAATCAAGGAAGGACGGCATGATAGAAAATTGCAGGCAAGTGTGCATGTTTTTGATTCTTAAAATAGTAATTAGAGATTACAAACAAAAATTCAAACACAAAATCAGCAGTTAGAGAAATAACTATCCCTCAAGTTAAAATAAAATGTTGATTTAATAAATTACCCAAAAATTTTTTTTTTTTTGTTGAAATTTTAAGCAAGTTAAGGATTTTTTTAGGCAAAGAAAAGATACTACATATTTCACATTAACCTACGGAGAATTATATTAACTTAATTCATAATCAATATTTTTTGTTTTAATTTATTCATTAAAGTATATTTTGTGCATTTAAGTTTCTTAATTTCATTTTTATAAGTCTAAGAAAAGTTCTTCAGAGTTCAAAGTTATAGTTTTATAAATACTTACCTACAACCTTAATGAATTAAATGAAGCAAAAAAAATTTTCAAAATATTAATTTCTAAATGAGGACATTTCGTTAATATAATTCTTCATAGATTAACAAGGAGTAAGGGAAATTTCTTCTTTCTTTGAAGCTCTCACTGAAAGCCTTAGCTTCGATTTTCATAAAAATTTCAACTAACAGAAATTAATGAGGTTTTCAGATGTAATTTTTACGACGAGTTAAAAAGAAATGTACCTTCTAAACAGGAAGAGTAGGAGTTAATTGTTTATTTGGGAAAGATGAAAAATTCAACCATTTTAAGCTGTTTTTTTTTTTAAATAAGAAAATAATTTCCTCATGTATTATTGAAACTTTCTTGCTTCCTTAGGTTTAGCTTAAAATTCTCCGTAATTGTAATCACTTCAGTAAGTTTTTCCTCCATAATTTAAATTAAAACAAATTCATAGCATAAGTAAATACTAAATAAAAAAATATTACAAAATACATTTTAGATATACATTCATTTTTTAAACGCTTTTAAAATGTATTTACAAAAATTCAAAAGAAAAATATTCTTCGTAACTGTCCGACAAACTCTCACTCTCCACAATTATTAACAACTTAATAAATAGGCATAACCAATATATTATCAAACATTAAATAATTGTGTCAAAGAGAGAAGATGCAACAATACCAGCAGTACAATATGGATGGTTGGCTGTGTAAAGCTAAGAGCAGATGGCGCTAAGAGTTTGACCTAAAACTACAATAGTACATTTTAGTACAAGTAAATAGTCATGTGTTGGGATAGCCTGGTCGGTAGGGCGCCGGACCCATGTCCAAGAGTTCGTGGTTTCGAACCCCGCCGGCCGAAGACTCCTCGTGTAGTAAAGTGACTGTTACTGGTCGGTAGGGCGCCGGACCCATGTCCAAGAGTTCGTGGGTTCGAACCCCGCCTTCCGAAGACTCCCCGTGTAGTAAAGTGACACGTTAAATCTGTCGAGCCGCAAATGTCCTTCATGCTCCCATAACAAATCAATACCTCTGGGGGTACTGGATTGGAAAACGATCGTTCTCTGATTCAGGTCAAAATTACGATCTATGGATGTATGAATGGGTTCGCTCTATAAACGGGTGCGACGTATGGTGTGGCAGAAGTCGAATTCTTGGCCATAGATGGCGCCACTAAGAAACAAGAAACGCACACTCTGCCTTAAATTTGTTAAGTTCCACCAAGCAGGATGTGGCAAGTGGCATTAGAACCAACCAACCAACAAGTAAAGAAACTGGCAGTTTCAGTCAAGCAAAGTTAATGACCTAAAACTGCAATAGTATATTTTAGTACAAGTGAAGAAACTGTCAGTTTCAGTCCATTAAAGTTAATGACCTAAAACTTCTATAGTATATAATAGTACAAGTAATGAAACTAACAGTTTGAGTCAATTAAAGTAAATGACCTAAAATTGCTGTAGTATATTACAGTACAAGTGAAGAAACTGGCAGTTTCACTCATGTGTGTATAAGATTTGCACAATGCTTATGGGGTCCCACAGAATTTTCGAAATATCATGGGGTCCCCACACCAAAAAATTAAAGTAACCATGCACTACACACTTTATATGATTTGAAGGATCAGTCTTTTGTAAACAATGTCTTATTCAATGAATGCGAGTATAATTGTTATTTTTTTCCCTTTTCAGTTGCTTGAACTTTGTTTGAACCATTATGAATTCCATATCTTGGACAATGCATTTTTGGTTCAAGTTCAGCAAGAGATGGAAACGGTTAAAGATACTAATATTCTTCAGAATTTCATCCTTCACAACAATGCAGCAAGAGAAAAAAAGTTGGAGGCTCTGCTGTGCCGTTATGGATCCGATACGGGTTGTGCAATATAATATTGCATGCCATATGTAATATTAGCTCAAACAACACAGTATTTTTTTTTCTCTTTTGGCTTAGTAAAAGCTCACCTAACTTTTTACTGCAAGAATATCTTAGATGTACTCACCTCTCATATTATTAACAATTATTACAGCAATATAAAATCTTGGATGTAAGAGATTGAGGTTATCTCTTTTTAACATGATTTTCCCAAACGTGGTGTTAATTTAAAAATTTTTTTTCTATGAGAAACTAAATTAAATTACACTTTAACGAAATTTCGCTTGTTTAATTAAAAAAAAAAGATTAATCATTAACAAATTGGTGTTACATCTTTTTTTTTTCACTCTAATTGACTGAATATTCAGATAACTTGTCAGGTTTCTTTGAACTTTAAAACTTTCAAATTAAAGAAAATATAAAATTTATTGAAATCCTATCCATTGAATAAAACTGGTTTGTTTTGGTAATGATATAACTGCCTGTAATGTTTAACATGATTTTTCGAAGCTCTATCACTAAAGAAAATTAAAAAGCTACAGTTTAAGCGCTTTACACTTGGAGCATAGCGATGATTTCAAAGTATATATTATCATTATGATGTGAAGAATTATTTGGGCTTCAGAACGAACAAATAATTTAATAATTTTAAAAGTTAACTTTTTTAAAAAGCACCAATTTGGCGACATTTTTCTACATAGAAGAGAATCATTAAAATCACTGCCTTAGTCTCAGTTTTTGCAAATTTTTATGAGCCCACATAATGCAGCATTGGAGTAAGTTTTTTAAATGTTAAAAAAACAATGCAAACGCTTGTCATTTTTACAAAGCTGTGGATTTCCTCCATTGACATTTTGCACCATTTTCAGAATAAACATAGAGAGCACCAGCTTTAGATACACTAAACTTGTCCTAACAGTCAAGAGTAACTGCTGCAAACCTTCAGCAGTTATGAAAATAGCATATCATCCACAAAAAAGAGCTTCATTAAATATGACGACAAAGTCTTCGATAAACAACCTTAAGCTTCATCACTAATTTCTTTCCCACCATTTACATTTTTTATAGCACGGGATCTTTGATTAAGTGAATTTTGAGGAAATGTGTATATTGTTCTTGTTCAAAACATTTTAGAATAAGTACAGATTTGAAAAATAAATAGTTTTTGAGATACTGAGAACAATATAATACATATTTTTCTTTTTAATTTATAATTCTTTTCAGAATTTATGGAATGATTTCAAAGTAATTTTCTTATATTCTTTAAATGCTGTAGACTCAAGAGCAGTTGTTCTTCACCATTACAGAGCTCTCACAATTTTACAAGATTTTAATGGAATATTTTTGAAAAATTTAATATTATATAAAACATTTAATGGACAGATCAATAATTACGAAATCAGGGTTTAATATTTAAATTAAAATTAAAAAAAATTAGAAATAAAATTTAAAAACATTGTGAGTCTAAAAATCCACATTCAATTTGTACTTTTTGAAACTTTTCTTAAATATGCATACTGTCAAATTAATTAAAAATATTACCTACAACTCAAAAATTTCCTCCTAAATACAACTTAAATTTTTTATAAAATTTTAATTTACAGGGTTGCCACTCAAATCTGGAAAAAATATTCGCTGTCTTTTCCCTACACATATTATACACAATATATTATGAGGAAACAACAATTACTGTGTTCTTGTGCGAGATATATTGGGCTAACTATATTGATTAGTTTTAATTGCTGGAAAAACAGCTGAAAATACTTAAAATAATACTAAATAATAATAATAATGCAAATGAAATAGTTTAGTATAGCTGAAATATCATAGTTAAATATCCCATAGATTACGCTTTGAGTGATCACCTTTTTTTAAAAGACCAAAACAAGAAACAAAATTCCCTGTATTTTCCCAGTTTGCAAAGAAAAAAATCAAAATTCCCTGTTATTTTAGGTGATTTTTAAATTCCCTGCATTTTCCAGGCTTTTCCTGTTCTCCCTGTGGAGGGGCAACCCTGATTTATGACTAAGCAGTTTTTCTTATTATTATCAACATTTAATTTAAAGTAATTATTAAAGTATTGCCATCTTTCTGCATTATTAGCCCATTCAAAACTTATATTTACCTTTCGGAACATGGAAATATGCATGCTACAAAGGTAATAATAATGATATCGTAGATGATCAAGTTAAAATACATAAAATATAAAGTATTATTGAAAAATATGGTTTTCATAGAAATAGCACAAGTATGAAAAAATAAGTGTTTTTGAAGTAAGAATTGTATATAAATTAACAGGAAAAAATATAAGAATGTATATGCAAATCTAGGTCTAGATGAATTCTGAATATTTTGAATAAGAATGCAAGCTTAAGTGCACTTTCACTCAGTTTCAAAAATATTATGAAATAAAAATAGTTTCTTTAGAGTAAAAATTTTTTTCTTTAACTTTTTCCTAGACACAAGAAAAAATTATATTATTTTTCATTTTTAATAAATTTCAAATGCTTTAGAATGAAGCATTACTTTTAAACAAATATATCTTTCACTAAAAAATAGCTTTAAAATTTTACCCAGGAGACATAACTTTATGTGATTAGTGCTTTTATGATATATATTTCATTGTAAGAACAAACAATGTATGTTATTTACTTATGTGATAATAAAACAAATAAATAGTATCTAAACCAATCAGTATTAGTAGATTCTTAAATCATGGAAAACAATAGAAAAAAAACCATAGAGGGGAATTTCTGCTAAATGATATGAAAATCACATTTACAATATTTTTAATAAAAACTATTTGTAACACATAAATATTTAAAAGAAAACATGTTACATCAAAAAGAAATATATTTAATATTATGGAAAAAAATATACAAATGAGCAGAACAGAGAGATACAAAATTTAGTTGTAACAGATATTTCTCATCTGTAAGTAAATATTCCTTGACTTGATATGCATTTGTAAGGGCGACTATGAGTACGACCCCTAAAAAAAAAAACAAGATTTGTTTTTAAATTTTTTTTTTCGTGGATCATGGCCAATAAAGTATAAACACTAATTCCAGATATAAATAGTGATTTTTGATTTAAAATTGATTAGAACAAATTTAAAAAAAATCCTCACTAAAGATAATTATCTCAATCTGAAGGTATTATTCTCAATCTGAAATAATATTATTTAACATAAGGAATAATGTTATTGCCAGGATATTGATGTTTCAGTGAAATATGTGATCAAAAAGGCAGATAAATAGCGTTATAATATAATTTTTAAAAGACGTAAAATAATTCTGTAAAGAAATTTTGACAAAAAAAAAAAAAAAAAAAAATTTTTTTTTTTTTTTNAAAAAAAAAAAAAAAAAAAAAAATGTTCTAAAAGATTAAAAATGTTTTCCAAACCATAGCATGCAATTTTAAATTTGTTGTAATTTTTCATAAGTGCCTTCTTTTGGGATTAATTTTAAAAATACATCATAAGCTTAAAAAGGTTTTATCTATCTTGAAATTTGTCAGTGCATAATTATGATCAGTCAACACTGCTTAATGGAATATCATTGATTCTAGCTAACACTAATCAATAAAGCATATTATTTGATTAAAAGGGGGCAGCATTATCCTCAAATGTTAGATTTTAAAAAAAAATTTTAATGGTATGAAATACATAATATAATGCTTTGATTCAATAAACTCAATTTTATGTTCAATAAATAATTATAATTAAAGCTGTATATAATATCATAAAATATTAGTATAATTCAAAATTACATAAAAATAAAACAATGTAAATGACAAGTATAATCTATGTAATATAATATTATTATTTTGCTCTTTCCTAAAAAATTCTAAAATTGAAGACTGTTTTTATTTGTTTAATTAGACAATTTATCAAAATTAAATTTTCTCTATCTTTTTCTACTAAGACTTTCATGACTTGCATAATTTTTTTTAATGTTTTGAGATTTTTTTTTATTGTCGAAATGTGAAAAATTCCAAGTTGACTAGCTATTTCATATTGGAATTTTTTGAAATTTATTGCTTCCAAAACTAAGATGATTTTTCCCTCGATAAACTTAAATCATTCTTTTTTACACTGATCGTTAAACCAATGCAAAGTTATTCACTGGAGTAAGCAATAATTATTTTACTTTAGAGAAAAACAAACTGAACTTTTAAACTTTTAATTATCAAATCAAATAGCGCATTAGGAGGGGACAGCAAGTTTCGACCACAAAACAAATCACTCTGTACCTTCCCACATTTTCAATGATATGTGAGTTGAAATGAGTCAAAGAGCAGTAGAATCCCCTTTGTTTACTCCAAAGTGTAACTGCCAGCAAGAATTGAGTAATTCTCAATCAACGCCTGTTTAATGAACAGGAAATCACTATTAAATGAATAATACGAAATGGAGCTATGACCAGTCACTGATATAGGGATAAGATCCTGAGAACTATTGTAGTCCCGTATGCTGCAGCAATTGGAGATGACTTCATGCCAATGAACAAAAATTGCAGGCCACATCGCGCTAACTTGGTGAATGATTTCCTTTTGGAGGAGGGAAATCATATGAATGGATTGGCCAGCATGTTTTCCAGGCATGAACCCAATCGAGCATGTTTGGGACATTCCAGGCAGACGAACTGCTGGTCATCTACCACCCCCACAAACTCTCCAAGAACTGGAAAGAGCTCTTCTGGAGGAGTGGGACAGAATACCCATTTATAACCTCATTGGCTGGATGCTTCAAAGGTGTTCAACGTTGCTGGTCGTCCAAGGAAACCATACCACCTACCATAAACGATTTTCTTTTCAGGAAACACCTTTTTTTTTTAAATTTATTTTTCTTATATGCGTAAATTGTGCTTTTTCTTCTTTTGTACCCAAATGCTCAATAAAACACATTTTTCCTGCCAAACAAATGCCGTTTTTATCTCACATAGCCAACAACATCTGTCCAGAAAGTATCAATCATTCGAACAATTTTTCAGGTGCAAGATCAACCCACAACCTCAATATCCTTTAATTGTTTTGAGCAGTGTATAAAAGGGATATCGATGTGCCATCAGCCTCAAAGGGTTAAAATTTCTTATTGATAAAGAAGGAGTGAGCAATGCACCCAAAGAAAAAGCATGGCTGTTGAAAGAAAAGAAAACAAAAATTATTAGAAAAATCATCACAGTTAAATAAATACCTTGTATGTTTTACAACAACTTTGTCCCTAACAAACTCGTGTGGGCCTTCAAAAGAGTCACCAGAATGTTCAGTTTCTAAGAAAACATCAAAACACACGGCTAAATGATAGAGTTGACACAGCAACAGATTCGATTTATACTCCTCTGGCAGGCTTTCAACAAAATGAACGTTTACTTCCTCTTCAAGCTCCTAAGACAACAAATTAATAAGATTATAAACTGATTAGTGAAAAACATTGATAGCAATAAAATAATTTGCTTCTGGAATTTATTGCATGAAATGAAGTTAAATTTAAATTTATCATAAAAAGTAACAGCATAGTGGAATACACTACAAATCAACTAATTGAGGGGTGGAAAAGAATGAATGAACTGTTAAGGAACAAAAATTAGTACTTAAGATATATCTGAACTATGAGATATTTGGAGGGAATTTTTTTAATTTAAATTAATATTTTTTCGGCATAGAAAGCCCAAAAGAAATTATTTTTACTAACTATGCATTAACCGTGTGCAAAAAATAATGGAACATTATTAAACTAAAATTAAGTGGATAGAAATTAAAGTAAGCAACATGAATAAAGCACAAAAATGGGTATGCTATCAGAGTTTTCAACCCATCCACAAATCCCCAAAAAACACAGGTGTTTTTTTATTCATTTATAAACATAATGAAAACTGCCCTTATATCAACTGTTATTTTTTATTTGACTTATAAATATCAGTGTTCGCTTTAAGTATTTTTTGCAAGCAGACCAGTCCTGAACGCCCTTTGATTCCTTTTTTACAAAATAATGATTGAATTTAAAAATTCATTAAATTTCAAACCATGATAAAATACTGAATAATATGAAATTAACGTTAACTTATTTTGCATTACAAATTTATTTAATAAAAGTTTATATGACTGATTAATCATTTTATTGATCAAAGCAAAACTAATTCTAAATAAACAGTAGGAGTAGTTATGTAGTAAGTTAGCCTGTGAAAGACTTACTTTATTTTAACAAAAAGGAAAAGAAATTAAACCACAACTTAAGTGTTTAAAAACAAATAAATAAACCAGAAAACAGCATATTTCTATGACCCCAGTATTATGCTTTTATTTCTAGTCAAAGAAAGAATTAATTTCATAGCCCGTAGTTCCATCTTTTCATGTCTACCAACATGAAAAGATGGAACTACATTAAAATTAAGGCTATTTTTTTATATTTTAATTTATTATTTAATAATTTTCCTATGAAAGTTTACTTTTTAACTAAAATTGTTTCCCTTTGAATTAAAACTTAAACCTAAAAAGAGTTAAACTAGGTAATATCTTAAGAAACTAGAAAAAAGCTAATAAAACCCACCCAGGATTTATTTTTATTTTTTTAAATAAAGAAATCTAGTTTTTTCATTTAAGAAATGATTACTATAGGTTTGGTTCTGTAAACAAAAATCTTCCTCAATGTCAATCTTTTGACATGCTGCTCATGTTTTTTTCTCCCTTCATATTGTTTAGTTTTATTTAATACTTAATACAAAGTTTACTCTACCCTTATTTAGATAAGAGGATATATAGAAATAAAATCTTCACAATTGCATGATTTGAAATGCAATTATATTTCCGTATGTAATTAATATTTCAACCTCTAGTTGAATTCCAAATTAATAATGAGTTAGGGAGACAATTGACAGTAAAATTTAAAATCAAGACTTCATCTTCTGGTTAAAAGGCAGATAAACTCTATTTTGCTATTAATTAGAAAAGAATGGACATGCATGAAATAGGAAATCTTGAAGCTTTAAATATTAAATTTGATAATAAATTTTTTCATAATATTCTATTTATTAGAGTTGAGTTTAATAACTAATACAAAAAAGGTACTAGTTATTGTACTTAAAACAAATATTAAAAATAAAAGGATTAGATCCAATCAAAAAGGAAGAAAGAAAAATGGAACTAATTGATGGTGCCTAGAAATGTATTAAGAGAATTGGTGCCTAGAATTGATAAATTTAAAATGATGATAAGAAGCTAATAGTGATTTATTTCCAAATAAAGATAAGTTTAAAACAACTTACTCTCAAAGCAAAACTTGAAACTGAAGTGTGAGTTCCTTTCCAAAACAACTGTAGTAAAAACACCGGTGTCTTCACTGGATAACTGGGGTCAATACAAACAAAAGCACACAAGCAAGCTGTAAATAGAATTAACGAGGCTGTAATAATCTAAAATTTTACTTTCCAATTCCTCAAAGGACGATTATGAGAATTTGAATTATCATATCTATACCATAAAAACATAGCAACTTATTGTAATACTGTCGCATTGCACAAACAGCATGTTCATAAGAAAGCCCGTTCTTATGGTTATGTTAAAAATGCTCATCAGAAAATTATTTTATAGGAACGATAAGTGGTAATATTATTCTTAATATTACTAAAGTTAATGCTATTTACTGTATTAAAAATAACTGGCAACTTTCAAATTACATTTAATATATACGAAGAATTTGGAGTAAAGAATCCCATTTTTTTCAACAAACCATATCCTAGTAATGTTTCTAGATAGATACTTACGAGTTTTGGGAATTAACACAGGATAACAACTTAAAAAATATATCATTATATCATAAAAAAAAAATTTCTTGCAGAAAATGCTTACTTGGACAAATAAAAATGCGGCTAATCATTAAATTATTACAAGCTCTTCAATTAAATCAAAAATTCATTCTTTAAGATTAGAATATTATAAAAGAATTACTCCATTTCTTAGGATGAGATGTTAGTAATTAGACATTTAAGGGAGTTTCCATTCAGTAGAGAGCTAAAAATTATGAAAAATTCCTTTTTATTACATTCTGTTTTCAAATTTGTCACTTAAAAAAGCACAATAATTAGTATGAAGAGAAAACAAACAAAATTAACATTTTGTTGTTTAATCCATAAAGCAAAGAAAGCAAATTTACAAGTATTTTCCTTTTCTACAAATTTACATGATTTCAAATAAAGAGAATGTATGTAACTATAGTCATACATACCTGATCCCCGATCTAACTGTGCACTGTATATGAGATGATCTTGAGCAACAATATTAAGGTTCATGAGTTCATCAATGCTTGTGGCATTCTGATAAAAATGTAAAACATTTTGCTTTAGAATGAAAAATACATTATTTAATGGCAAAATAAACTCTAATCTTTTTTCCCAACTCTTAAAGTTATTAAATTGTTTAAAAGTAGTTTAGCACCCTTAAAACATTCTGAAAGATAAAAATACAAAGAAAACAAGCTAAGAAATGAAAAAAAAGGGAAAAGAAATTTAAAGTGAAGAAAAAAATAAAAATAACAATCCCTAAAAATTTAAACATAAAAAAAAATTATATCATCATCAGCCCACATCATTATACCGACAAAAATAGTGCTTTCTAATATTGTATTAATATAGCCTAAGCAAAAAATATCAATACAATAGAGTGAAGAGCACTAAAGAAAAAAAAAAGAAATTAAGAAAGAAACGGATCTGTAAACATAGTTTTAGGAAGTAAAAAATCTCAAAAAATAAAAGAAAAACACAATGGAGTTTCCCATAAATCCGAGCTAGTGAAAAAAAACTGCCTCACTCCCAAATAATTACCAATGCACTCACAACTTGTAGAACGATTACTACAATTGGTATTACAATGACTGAATGTTCAAAAACTATATTCTGTGAATAGTGTGTTTAAACAAAAAACATCAGACAATTAAAGTACAATTAACTTGATGCAGTAAAATATTGAAAACTTGGTGTAATGCAGTAAATGTATCCTGATCCTTTAATGTCTGTAGAATTTTTTTTAATTATAATATATTTTTCAATTAAATACTAAAATTTAAAAGCTGCTTTCTTTCCATTTATTTAAATATTTATAAAATTTCGATCTCGGTCCCGCCCCCCTCGAACTATCAAGACTCTACTGTACACATATATTACTGTGGCCCTTCAATTAGACAGTCAGAACTAAACCGTTCATTCCATAAACTAAAATAAATATATATTTTTTTAATTTATTTACAATTTAAGAAAATCTTCCAAGAAATGGTATTAAACATTTTTGTACTTTTAAAACAAAAATATGAACATGTAAAGTCTTAAATTCTCTATAAACAGTGGTCGCAAGTGGCGCACTAAAAGTAGTGAAGCTATTGTAGATACTACTTTTTTTCGTAGTTTGTAGCGCAGTGTACTACTTTTTTTGTCAAGAAAGTAGTGCGATACAAAAAGTCAGTACTTCGCAGCGATTCCCGGCAATTATTTTTAAGGTTAGTTTGAAAGCGATACCACACTTCTAATGCAACAAATTTTATGAATTTGATGAGTACAGATGCTCGCGGGTCCGTCAATGGGTGCAATGAAAATGACCCTGTGGCCACAGCTGAGTGTTAAAAGAAATTACACATTTAAAATCACATACAACTAATATTTAAACTAGCCATTAAGAAAAATAGACACACATTCACATGCGAATGCATACTCTTGCAACATTGCTGTTATTTAAATGAAGGGAACATATTTTCCATATACTTAATTTCTCAGAGGAAATAATAGAGAGCTAAACAATTGAAAGAATTTGATAATTTTGCATTTCTTAAATTAAATATTTGCTGCCAAAAAGGCATAAAAAGTTGAAAGATAAATGAACTAATCGGAAAAAAATTTATTAGAATAACAAATTGGCTAATTTAAACTTGAATAAATATTTCTCAATTACTTCCTCATTTAATGTAAGCCAATTTCTTATTCAAAACCATTTTGAAGATATGCGTTAATTAGGTTTCTAGCAAAGTTTGCCTCCTTACAGCACTGAAGTAGTTACTACAATTCCAAAGTAGTCTGCAGTCACAACATTTAAAAAAAAGTAGTTTTAGTTAACTACATTTGTAACAAAGTAGTTGTAGTAAACTACTAAAATAATGTAGCTTTTTGACCACTGTCTATGAATGAAAAAGAGGGACAGAACTGCTCATTCCAGATGGTCCTAAGCATGATCTATGATCAATAAGATGGTGAAATATAGACTCCTTTCCATTATTGAGGATTAGAAGTGAAAAAAATTGGAATCTATTGCAGTAATTGTAGAGGGTCAATATCAGATTCCTTTTTAAAGGGGCTAACAACAAACCAAAAGTATAACTTGCTTTAACTAAATATGAAGGCAAATTTTATCACAAAAGAATAATAAAATATAAATTTTTTAATTTTAAAATTACTGTGTTTGGAACAGAAAGTTTTATTATTTTTGTGTTTAATTTTATTAAAAGACCACCAAACAACTAATAATATAAAACATATAATAATTAATCAATATATAGAAAATTATATATAATTAATCAATATATAGAAAACTTTTATATTGTTTCATTAAACAAATAACCAGTATGAATTATTTAACATTCCTACACGTTAATATTAATTTAAAATTTGCCATTAAGTTTAAGGTTTTTTTAATCAAATAATTTTAAAGTAGGACACCATAAATATGCTGCTTAACATTCTGCATGATCTAGTAATATTCTGTTTCTAACATTTCTAGTAACATTCTGTTTCTAACATTTCTAGTAACATTTTTATCATCTTAACAGTCTGTATCTAGATACATCTTAACATTCTGTATCTGTTTTTGTCATAATATCTAAGAAATTAAAAAACATTTTTACAAAAACTTCTGGAAAAAAGTAGGAATAGTTTCACGAAAGCACTTACAGCGAGTTCCTTCCAAGAGGTTGGATTCCATGACTTTAGCTGTGATGAAATTTTTGAAGGATAGAGAGCAGCAAAAGTTGGTGGCACATTTATTCTTTGCTCTGTTTTGAAATATAGCACTCAATGAGAATTACCACAAGTAGATATAAAAAAAAATTGTAACTTTATGCAATAACAGTTTCAAAAAAAATTAAAACAGAGATAAATTAATTTCACACAAAAAAGGTTTAATTGAAATGAATTTAACCACACTAAAAGTTCTCCTTTCCTTAATATATAGTACAGGATTCCAAATCAGGGCAGTTCCTATTTTTCGCAAGATAATAAGTAAAATTTCAGAAATAATTTATGCAATATTGTAAGAAGAAGCAGATAAATTGCAACAGCAAAGAAAAATTTAGATAATTATTAGATATTAATTAAGAATAAAAATAAGATATTTTTAGTGAAACATTTAAAGATGTATAAATGACAATCGTTAAAAATATCGAAAAATGGTTAAATCGTTAAAGTACAGAAAATGTAGAACGATAGCCATTAGTGACAAAAGTCATTTTAACATTGGTGTACTTTAATAAGTTTTATTTTAAAACTGAATATGAAGGATAGTTTAATTAATCCTGTGATTGTTATGCAAAGGGAAATTCATTCTATTCTGAAATCAAATCATTCCATGTTATGGGAGGGAAATATTGTACTTGGGAGTAACATTAAGATTTTAGATTTGACCTGAGAGATTTAAAAGAAATTTTTTTACGCAAATAGTAGATACTAAAATTTAGAAAACCTCTAATATACAGAAGGTCTCAAATTTTTGACAAGAATTGCAATTTGTATCATTTATGCATTAAATTTTTTCTATTGGGGGAAAAAATAGATGAACAGCTATAGGTTCAGAGTTATTAAAAACGGAGGATTATACATTTTTAGATAATATTTTTATGAATGTTCAATCATTCTCTAATTGTATGATTTCCGATTTCGATGATTAAAATTGGCTCGGCTCAGATCGTGTAGTTAAACATTAAAAAAAATTTCACCCACCACCCACGACCTTGATTGAGGAAATTGAGTGCCATTTTAACGAATATTCACTAAAAACGGCCAGTGAATTGATAAATCAAAAGAGTGCACAACATTACATTAACCAAATAACCCTAGCCAGTATATTTTATGAACTAAAGAAAAAAAACAACTAGTTGTGATTAAAAACTTTTGTTCAATCAACTTTACTTTATGCATGAATTTTGGGACAGCACTTTGATATAAATAATGGTAATGACTTAGATCTTACCAAGAGAAATAATTTGCTGATAAAGCTGCTGCCTAGATGTGAGACGAGTGCAAATTGCATTGATTGATCTCTCCATTCTGAAAGGAATTTCTTTATACATTTGCTTGTATTCATTAGTATTCTCATTGGGTGATATGAAGAGTAATCCAGATATTTCTTGTGCCCAAATATATGGCAAACCAGTTGTTTCATTGGAAAAGGGATGTTCTTCAGGCCTGAAAAAAAATTTCATGAACAGGGAGTCGAACAATTTAAATTGAATGATTAAAAATATTATTCAATTACTTTATTTTATTTTAAAACTTACTAATTTCATTAAATTTACTCATTGGCAAAAACAAAACAGGGATTAAGAAAACTCATTATGCTTTTAAAGAGACATAAAAGTATCTTTCAAAAGTAATAAATTAACTAAAGAGGTGAACAGATGATAGTTTTAAGTGGCATTTTAACGAATTCAAATTATTCTAGGGACATTAATACATTTATATGCCTTGAAATAAGAAATTAAAATTATACCTTACTTTAATTTCTTATACACAAATTTCCTATTGTCGAAACCTATAAATATCTAACACTCATTTAAAATGCTTTGTCATATTGTGTTCACATCATTGGCATTTTAATTTGCAACCAAAAGAGATATTTTATAAGGTTTCATGTTGACTGTTTGTTGCTAAATTAGCTAAGAATCATTTTCTATTCCAAAAACACTCAAAGCTTGTCACTTAGTACCATTACAAATTGAAAACTACAAAATGTAGGGACTTTTCAAAATGACTTACAATTTTATAGTTGAATAAGATCTTTTTTTTTTATAATTTGCTAACTTAAATTAACTAATTATTTAAATTTAGTAAGAAATTCTTTTTAAATGTTATAATAGTATAAAACTTATTATGATTCTTATAGTCTGATTTATATAATCATAAATTGAACTGATTGAGAATCACTCTTGTTCTTTCTGCTACAAATGGGTCAAATATCAGCTACAAAATTATGTAAATTTAAAATTAAAAATGTATAAAATATGTTGCCTGAAATAATTTAATTAAATATCTGATCATTTTAGAAACATTTAATGCTTGATATAAATGATTTTTTAAACAACCTGATACTTAATACTTATTAACTTGGCCGGGATAGCCTGGTTGGTAGGGCACTGGGGCCATGTCCAAGAGGTCGTGTGTTAGATCCCCACTGGCCGAAGACTCCCTGTGTAGTAAATGGTGACTGGTGCATGTTAATTTTGTAGGGTCACAAAGTCCTCCATGTACTTATAACAAATCATACCTCAGGGGTAAATGATCCAGGAGTTTACTAGTCTTCTGGATTGGTTCAAAATTACAAGGCTACAAAGTTTAACATTAGTAGTCGTAAACCGAAAATGGGGTGGGCTGTTCAATGACAGTTAGAAAATAAAATACCTATTAATTATTAAAATTTAAATAATTTTAAGGAAAGACAATCTTACTTCTTTTATAATACAAGTAGTTTTACAAACATGCAGCGATTTTTAACGATATTTTCCACTTAATGTAAATAAGTTTATGTTTTGCCTAATAAATTTTGCCTTGTTTTATGTTCTGCCTAATAATTAAACCATCATGACGTTAACCTCATGTCTAACATGAGAAGAAAAAGGAAACAAGAAAATTTTTCTTATCCTAACCTTGACAATTCGAATTTTCTTGTGAATTTACGAAATAAAATTTAGACTAGTGAACTGTTAAAAATACATGAAATAACTTTGGGAAGAGTAATATTTTAGCAAACCATAAAAATAAAGGAATTGAAAAAGAAGAATTTTTACAATAACATACCCAAATTTTTTCCTGAGAAGAAAAATGTTTGAAAGATTGGGAGTATCTCGACCAGTATCATTTGGAAATAAGCAATTGAGAAAAACATCATGTCTTAATAAATCCCTGAAACAAAAAAAAAAAGTGAATTTTAAAAGTGCAAAAAATGCAAATTTTACAAACAATTAATCAAAATACTATTTTACTTTTTTTTTGTAATTCATTATTTGTTACTATAGACACAGTTTTTCAAAGTCTTACTATAGTTTTCAACACAATAATAATACAACAACAATAAGAGCTCATTACAATAAATAGTGCTGGTAACAAGATAATTTAACAAATAATGAATTTAACTTTCATTTGCAACTCACAATCTATAAGTCTTAATCAAAGTTTTATGAAGTTATAAAAAGTGCATGGAGAAAACTAACTTAACACCAGGTAGGCTTACTTGAACTATTTTACAGCTCTTTAATATACAAGTTTTTGTAAAAAACTATTTTGCATAAATTTTTTTTATGAAAATTTGATCGTAAATTTTTAAATAATAAAATAAAGTCGAACGTTATTGTATTAAAATTCAATAGAAGTAATTATAGCCTGGTTAGTAGAGTCTCCATGTCTAAGAGGTTGTGAGTTTGATCACCAACGGCTGAAGACTCCCCGTGCATAAAGTGGTGACTGGTGCAAGATACATCTTTCAAAGTCACAGAGTCCTTCAAGCTCCCATAACAAATCAACACCTCTGGGAGTACTGGATCGGAGATTGATCCTGCTCTGGTTCAGGTCAAAATTATGATTTGTGGAAGAATGGATGACATGTGAATGTGTCTTCGTAAAATGGGCTGTGACGTATGTGTGTGGCAGAAATAAATTTCATGGCCATCAAAAAACAAGAAGCGAGCCACTTTGCCTTAAATTTAGCCTCCCAATATTGGCAAGTGGCATTAGACAATAACAACGGGAGATATATCAATATAACAAAATAAACTTATGGTATAATTTTTTAAAAAAAACAATAAAAAATGATGAAGACATATATTAAGCCCATTTATATATGACGCCTGGTGGCTGAGTGGTAGCACTTTGTGCTCCCATGCCACAGGTCCTGGATTCGATCCTCAGGCCGGGCAAGGCTGACTCAGCCTTTCTTCCCTTCAGTGGGTCAATAAATGAGTACCAAGCATGCTTGGGAACTAAACACTGGGGGTTCCGCATTCGGCTGACCACCTGACCAGAACATCTGCTCCTGCACCCCAGAGCCCAAGGTCAAGAAAACTGATTAGGCACCTCTATGGGTTAAGTTTATGTATTAAGACTTTTTGTTTCTAAACTAGATATTTCAAGTAAAAAAATTTTTAAGTTGACTTACTGACAATGATATGAAAAAAAAATTGTCCTTTCAGATAAGATGTATAAGACAATAAACTCAAACCATAAGAATAAAAAAAAAATGCACACTCAAACAATAATAATAAAACAGTATTATACATAAAAGATAACTTACCCAATTTTATCATCAGACATTGGTTCTGGAATAAGAGAAACAGTACTAACTGTTATAATATTAAGATGAACCATATACATAAATTGCAGTTGAACACTGGAATCTGAAAAAAAATATATATAAAAAAAATTTATAATTTACAATTTATTTACACTTACTTATGGCAAAAGTATTGTAAGATTAGAAATTAAGATTTAGGAAGAAAAATTTTGAATTTAAAAAACAACGGCAAACTTTTGGTATCTAAAATTATAGTTTTTCTAGAACCATAACATTCTACGGACATCTAAAATTATTTAAATTTGAATCTCTATAGAAACCAAGAAAACAAAACAATATTTAAAAAAAAAATAATAACTGAAAAAATAACAATTAATAAGTCATTTACATTAAAAATTTGTGAAATTTATTTTCAATCGGAGTAAGGCTTGTTGAATGAAACTATGCATATTCTATTGCACCCATACATTATATTGTGAGTACGCTGTCAAACGCCACCAAGTCAATATATGAAAAGAGAGAGATAATGTGTTTTAGTATTTCAAAGACCTATTACCTTTTTGGAAGAAAAAAAAACCAAGTCAATATAAATACAGTGAAACCTTGTGTTATGGACACTCCTGCAAAACGGACACCTCTCAATACATACATATTCTTAATTCCCTGGGAATCTTTGATGAATAAACAATTATATACATTATACGCAAAGCGGATAATCCCGTAACCGGACAGTCATTTTTGCCCTGAACTGTTATTTTCTATTGCTTCAAACCAGTCACTACTTTTTCTAAATTTGGAAAGAAAAAAAAAAAATTATTTCTGCTCTAAATTGCAAGAAACCTTTTCACTATTTTTAAAGCAAGTAAATATTTTGCCTTATCAATAACTGAAAATATTGTTTAGCTATTTCACTACTAAAGAATCAATCTTTCTCCAGTCCCCTTTCCTTATCTTTGCAAAGAAAGAAGAGAAAATGATACTGCTGTTGGGAAATAATTCGGACATCAGCATCTTTTCATCTGGACAACATAGGTTATGAGACCCCTCAAGTTGAAATGAGGTGTTAAATGCTCTCAACGCTTTTGCCCCACTGAAATTTTTTTTTATATTCTTATCAATTTGAATACTATACTTAACACAGGTGGGTAAAAAAAAAAGATAGAACAGAAGTATTATCTTTGAGGTATTCATAAAAATGAAACACTTATTCAGACACTTGATAGATGATCAATCGTGAATAATCAACTCCATATGTCCTCATGACTTATAGGTATGCATTGCTTTTTTTTCTGTGAATCGTGGGAGGCTTACTTTCAAGTAGGCATTCACCAAGTTTCTTGGTGAATACCTACTATAAGTAGATGATGCAAACCTAATAATTGAAACTGACTGAGGACTAAAAGCTCCTATTCGGTATTATATGTGTAACTTGAATATCTGTACTGATAGGAAAATTATAATTATTTATCTGTAGCTACATATAGAATTATGTATTTATATCAAGCTTTTTAATATATTGTTTTTATCTAAAAAGTATTTTCTAGAGTTTAAATAAATATTCTTGTAGATTGTTATTGTAGATTATTTAATTATTTCTATATCTTTGAAAATATTCTAAAAACAATTTACGGTGTTAAACTTCGCTATTAGGATACCCTTCACATAAACGGACAATTTTTTCAGTCCCAAGAATGTCCGCTTAACAAAGGTTACACTGTAGTGATAAAGGAAATACGATAAAAACAAATTCAATATAGAAATAAATATTTTACATGCAACATACAACTTTAAAACACAGTTTCTTAAATACACACTTTTGTTCGGCAGTATACCCACAGTTACTTATTAGCTCAGTGTGCAGTAAAATAATAAAGGTAAACAGATGAATGCTTAAATTTTTCAGGGAACATAAATTGCTTTGAAACATTGGCAGACACATAATATTTGTTTTATTTTGAACTTTATAATAAAAGTACTCCACCATTATTAAAGATAAAATTTTTTTTTATATATAAACCTAAAAGCATCTAAACAAATATATTTTACTTTAAATGAAGTCTTTAAAGACTTACCATCAACATCTATAGTGACATGAACTGACATGGGATGTTTCATCATAATGTCTTTACTGACATTGCTCTTGCTCCGAGACAGTGTATGTCTGTGCATGCTCTATTAAAAAACATTTAAGAAATTGATTATAGTAAAACCAAATTTACAAAACCATCAATTTGTTTAATTAAAATAAACTAAATGAATATATTATTTGCTGATTGGCCTTTTCTAGGAAGAAAATCGAAGAAATAGAACAATTCATGGTTACAAAACAGAAGAATATATTTTGATAATACAGTCAAACTTTGATATCAACAAACTAGAAAGAAGATGACTAATTTTGCGATTTCCATGATTGAATATGGAATACTTTTCAACTATTTAATCAAAATAATAATTTTATTGGGGTTTTAAAAAGTTGCATAACATGCATTCAAACAATGCTAATAGCTTTGCTTTTTTATATAGTGTTAAACTTAGCTTGAATTCTTCCAAATCAACATCACCTTCTGGTAAATCTCTCAATGCTGCTTTTCTTCTCAATCTTTTTTTTTTTATTAATATTTTTGAATTTTTTCAAATCATAAAATATTGCAAAACTAATGCCTACAGCAACTGTTTGCTCACAAGTATCAATTTCTTTTGGATTCGCTGCAGTAGCAAGTCTTTTCTAATTATCTATGAACCTATTCTTTTCCTATTATCGTATCTATGTTCTATGAACGCATTCTCGTATTCGTATCTTTAGAATTAACGATTTTATCAACTACTTTTTCATTACACATTCAAGAAAAAATCAATAAAATTTTTCCAGAAAAGGCTTTAAGATTGAAGCTTTAAAAAATATTTTAAATTTTTTGAAAATTATGAAGAAATTTTTTTTTTTAATGTTATAATTAAAGTAATGAAATCAAGGGTTACCAAGGGTATCCGGTTAAAAGAAGGTGCTTTTTTTCTTTCAATTATCTGTATAGTAGATGCAGAGGAAATTCAGATTTCTTTGTGGCAATAAAAAAAACTAATCTTTCAAGGTCTGTGATATTAAGGTTCAACTATATTTCATATATTCCTACACCATTTTATTACTTTTTTTCTTTTTCATTTTCTCCACAGGATATGGTAAAATAAAGAAAAGGACACATGTTTACTAAATAGAAATCATTACATGATTAATAGCTTTTGACCTAATGATCTGATGTTTACACACTGAAGAGTAATATCAGTAATTTAAGAGTCAAACTTAAGATATTTTCAATAAAAAAGCTAAATTAAAAATATTAAAATTCAATGAATGTCATAAAGTTTTGTTGTTGTATGTAAAAATAGATTGTGTTTTATTTGAGATACTTTTTTCTGTTTTGATAGTACTGTCTCATTTCCGTTATGCATGTGTAATTTTTGTTTCTTCCTAATATTTTATAAATTTGCAACAATTCTTATGTAGAGGTTTTCATCTAGTATCACTCTTATTTTAAATTTTCTCTCTGTAGAGCCCTATTAACAACTAAAACCACAGAACAAAATAAATATTTAACATATTAAGGCTAAAACATTACTTTAATTGAGAATTATTCCTTACAGAAGCAAAGTTAAAACTTTCCAAATATATTATTAATCTTTATTAAATTAAATAAAAATGCTCAAGATCTAAGTTATCTATATAATTTAAAATAATATCAAAAGTAAGAAAAATATAATTTCAAAAGTTAATATACAGTTAACACTTAACTAGTCAAAAATGTAAAAAAACCTCTTACACTTTCTGCATTATCTTCTTGATCAGATTCACCACTTTCTTCAGCTACATGAGAAGTAAACTTGCTTCAGTAAAAAATATTTTCACAAACATATAGATTTTCTTCAGGTGTTAAAAAAGATTAAATTATTTTAAAATAATTCACATAAAAAGTAATTGATTTAAAAACTAATAGCAATAAATGTGAGGAATAAAATATTTCTTCGATTATGCATAGGTGAATATTAGCATAGAAGGTAAATATATATATATACATATATATATATATATTATATCCGCATCTAATAATTGTATTAATATATTCAAAACAAAATGGAATAATAAGCAATTAAAACTTATTAAGATGCTTAATTTTCTTTGTTTTTTTCTCTTCTTTTTATCCTTTTTGTCTTCATCACGTTATATATATATATATAAATTCATTCTTTCATTTAATGATTAATGCCAGAATTTCTCAACAGTTAATCATATCTAATAACATTGTAACGCATAGTAACTGCTTTGCAATGAACTCTTTTAATCAAACCATAATTAATATAGGTTCTAAAGTTATTAATATAGTTTTCAATAGTTCGGTTTAATAAAAGCACACTTTTTTGTATTGATAACTTACATAATTCATCTCTTTTCAACTGAAGAGCCTTCACATCATCAATATTTCCCTCTACTGTTATTTTTATCTTTTTACCTTCAAAAATAACATACATCAAAGTTAGATAAAGAAGTAAAAATAAAATATAAATAAGATGAGGGAAAAAAACAACATATACAAAAATATTTCCATACCAGAATAGTCTAAATAGGCGTTAGCTTGAACATATAACACATAGAGTGGCCTTGGAAGATACTTAGCAGCAACATGCATCTTTTGTTTTGCAAAGAAAGGCATTCCCATTTTGCTTTGGAATGGTTCAGCAGCCTAAAAAATAAATTTAAATTTCCCTTTAAATTGAAATTGACAATGGAATGTTGCTCATCATCACACATTCTCTCCTACTACCTCTTTTATTATAACAATTACTCAACTAAGCACATTTACTTTGCAAACTTCCATTTTAGTACCTCAAGTTTATCTTCCTATGTTAAGCTATAAGATAATTCTTTATTCTAGATATCTTCGATTTTAATGCTTGGAGTGCTTCCAGATTTGAGATGTCAACAAACAGAAATGTCTATTCAGAAATTACTCCAGTATTTTCTTTTTGGATCTAAAAAATCTTTCTTACGTTTGTCTAAAGGGTAATTTGCTCTTAAAGATATCAAGAGAGATATAATTATGAAAATAGATTACAATTTACATGTACCCGTTAACTTTGAATGAAACAATAATGAACCAGTAAACATGTAATTTGTAACAATTTTTAGGAGCTAATATAGCTAGGATTGTTTTTATAAAATTTCTGTAAAAAGCCAATAAAAATGTATGGCTTAGATAACACAGGACAAATTTATAAGATTAAGATATCAAAATCTTTACAGAAGTGGTGGAATCACTTTTTTAATGCTCAGTAAAAGTATGAAATGATAAAAATCTTCCACTTTCTGCATTTTACTCAAATTCTGATTTTTGTTTGATTTTAATCATATTTCAGCTACAATAAGATTTTAAAAAAAAGAGAAAAAGAATTGTGCTACTAGGGGAACAAAGTTCGGAGTTATGCAATTTCGGGGTATTTCATTACAGCAGAAAATAATGACATATTTTTTTCTTGTTTTGCATAAAGATAGACCAGCTAGAAACACGAACTCAGTTACAGAATACACAAAACTCTCACATTTTCAAAAAATTGCAGACTTGAGATAAAATTGTCACAACTAGCACACGTCATTGGGTGATTATATAAAAGCAGGATTTGAAATACACAGATTGTAGTAGTATATCAAAAAAGAACTTGAAATATTAAAAACTATGTGGAAATCCTAAACTGCGTAAAATGTGATCGACAAAACCACATAGACAACAAATCCAATGCCTCAAAAAGTAAATTCTTCAAATTAGTGATTTAAAAATTTCCATACAATACAATGTAGCATTAAAAAATCAAGCTTTTAAAAACCTTTACAAATTTATATCAATAACGAAAATGCAATCTATAAAGCCACATGGTTTTGTGGGTGAATTGTCAATAATCAAGTGCTTAAAAAAAGTGATTCTTCAAATACACAATTCAAAACTTTCAATTTGTGATAATGCTGCATTAAAAATTATGAAAATTTGTGGCAATAACTGACAAAAATGCCATGTAAATCCTTGTACTATTACGGGTGAATCATCAAAACTTGAGTGAATGAAAAAGTGATTCCTCAAATGCCCAATTCGAAGTTTGACGAACAAATCTTGCATTAAAGCATTGATATTCTAAAAACCATGGGAAAAATCTGAAAAAACTACATGGATTCACTCTGGAATCATCGCTAATCAAGTCGGTCGAGAAGTCCTTAAATTAAATGCTTAATTCGGGATTCGTGGCTTGTTATAATGGCGTGTTAAAATATCAAAATTTTAAAAACCAAGTTGAAATCTGCAACAATAGCTGCAAACGTTGAGATCGACAAAGCACATAGATTCATATGTAGTTGGGGGAAAATTTATGTTAATTATTGTCTATTTGTTATTTTTTTATTAAATAAGGACGTTTTGATGTTTGTTATCTCAAAGACCTATTATCTGGAAAAATCTATTTTCCAGACTTGATGAAGTCCTGCCGACTACATATATGGGACTAACCACTGTAATAGGAAATAAAATTAATTTCAGAATTATAAAAAATTACAATACCTCTATAATGCTCTTTAATATGGGTCGAATATTAGCAAGATTTTGCTTCAGTTTTTTAATCTCTTGGTTATATTCTTCTTTTTTCAATTCCAATTCCTTCAGTTTTGCAGCATTTCTACAACACACAAAAACAAAGAATTATATATTTTTTTTAAAAGTTAATCTAACAAGCAACATATAGGTAGAAAATATTAAAACCTGCCCTACAACACTAGTTGTTATTACATAACATTTGAGATTAAGGCTGTAAATGCTAGTTCCCATGATATGACTAAAAATATGATTTGCAATTAAAGTGTAAACTGTGATGAACAACAAATAACAACTTTAATTAACAGTTAACATAAAATTTAACAAATTAACTTAATTTATTTATTAATGTAATTCACTAAAACAAACTGATGAGTAGGTGAAAGGATTGACGGAAATGATGTTACTCATACGTGCCAAATACAACATACATAGTATATAAACAGGTAACACATGGACTAGTTAATCAATGTGTGAATTAAATAGGCATATCAATGAAATAATGAACAAGTCAAAGAAAAATTTGCAAAAAATAATAATAATAAAGCAATGAAGTATTAAAATAGAACATACATTTTCCTCTGTTCTGACTCCCATAATAAGCGAGCTAATTTCAGTTGATGAGTATCATTTGAAGTAACTTGCTATAATAAGAAAATTCAATGTTGATATAAGCTTTGCAAATGAATTCTTTTTTTATAATTGTTTCAAAAATACATATATATAGATAAATAAAAGAAAAAAGCAATATTACTGCTTTTGAATGTTCCCATCTCAAGATTATATATTTTTCTAAATTTAATTTGCTTTTCACTTAAATCCAAGTGTTTTTTCAAGTGTAAGTGTTATCCAAGTGTTTTTATAATCCAAAGAACTTATAAAAATTTTAATTAGGAAATTAAAGAGCGTTCAAGCTCTTATTTTTTAAAATATTGTTTTCGCAGTAAGAGCAATTCATATTGACTAGAAAAAAAATATGTTCGAGTGTTTAAGAAACCAAATCATGAGAAGAAAAAAAAATATGGTAGTATAGACTGAGTTATAAACGTATTATTTTAGTGATGACCTAAATATATTTCCTTTTAAATGCCTTCAAAATTGTTTGATAAATACAATTAGATAAAACAATGTTTTTTTGTTTAGTCACTTCTTAAATTTTTCCAGACAGTCACTTTGCTTTCTGATGTAATATTTATGTAATAAAATGATAGAAAAAAAATTAATTATATTGATAAAAAAGTCAAATGCTAATAATAAATAAAAAATCAAATTCAGAATAAACTTTGATAAACAGATTATCTAACTCTCTTTCATCAAAATACATCCAAGTTCTACAAAATAATACACTATTCAACACATTATTAATTATGTTGATTTTATTTTACTCTAATAATCAAATAAAAAATAAAAATGACAATTAGAAACATAATCTAAAATAATTATTTTTAATAAAACAATATTCTAAGCAGTTTAAATAAGGGTGAACAAGTCTTACACGCTTAGATATAGATTTGGGAGCATCTCTGTAAAATTCTTCAACAGAAACAAGTTGAATTTCTTCATCTTTTGACCTATTAATAGTAACAAAACTATTAGTAAAATCTTTCAATTACATTTAAATAGTTTTTAAAAATATATAACACATTAAGATAGTTTACATGTTTTTGAATTATGCATGAAAAAATATATATACAGTAAACACTCTTTACTATGACCCCCATTACTGAGATCCATCCATTATAACAACCAATTGATGAAGTATCATTTGCTGTTCCATAGACACCATGTCATTTTCTTCAATATCAAAACAAAAATTTCATTTAATTCCTAGAAAATCACTCTAAAAAACAGGTGCAACATATTTTTATGATTTGAAAACTAATATAATTCCATTGACAGTAATAAAAGTTTGAGAGATATTATTCAAACCACTATTTCCTTTGGCATTACTGCTCAATAAACGTGAATCTCGATGAATGAAGAAACAGTTGTCAGGACCTTCTATTCTCAACTTAGGGGGTCCTGGGCATATTCAATAGTAAAAAAGATTGGACATATCAACTACTTTATATTATGACAAATTTTAAGCCTATATTGCATCCTCATGGGGCAATCAACAAACTTGGGAGTTTCCTGCATGCATTCCTAACCTTTGCAAATTTCTTTTCAAAGAGTTCAATAAATTTATTAAATTCATTCATCTATCATACTTGAAAATTGTATTCACTCCTTCTGTGAAGAAATGGTGTGTAAGAGGTGGTTTCTTTTAAAGTTTTAACAAGTGACATTCACATACCTCTTGATTTTATTTTTGATTAGATTTAACAGTTTTCAACATGTTACTAGAAAAAAAAATTTCATACAGAACAGAACCATCTATCCAGCATCCAAAAAACCGGGGAAAGTTTTGCTGCGCTTTTCCTGCCAATCTGCAACTAGAACCATTGAGAGGAAAAAAGAAAATTTACTCATGATAGAAGTTCAGTGCAGAAAACTTCAATATTTCTTCTCTGACCTTGAGGGGGGCAGGGAAAGGGCAAATGGTTCATTTTCTCCTATATGATCGAAAGAATCGGTGGTTTTTCTAACTAGCTGTCGTCAATTAAACAAAAGGAGCGGCATGCCGATATCGTTTTCTCTTTGATTTATAATAGGGTGGGGAAAAAGAATTGCACACGCATATTAGTGAACAGAAGGTGAAAGAGAAATTAAAAAATATATATATATATCCCTTAACTTTAGGAAAAGTAAAGAGAAATCAAAATATAAAATATTAATTGGAATATGAAAATGATTAAAATATGGCTATATTTTATTGAATGATGAAGTATGAATATAATTAAGCTGAATTTTATTATTTAAAAAATACTCAAAAGAATTAAGTAAGTTATTACTCAAAACACAATTGGCTGTGCTAGTAGGAGAAAAAATACAAAAAGAATCAAGGTTTGTTTGGACTATTGCTACTAAATTTCATAATTTATCAAAATAAAACGAATAATCCAATATTGAATTGGCTTCACTCTCAAAAGCTATAGAAAATCTTGCAAATTACTCCCGATGAACTTTTATACCACATGCAAAAGAGAAATTTTTACAATTAGTTTATTAAATAGGTAGAGGAAATAATGTGGTTCTTACAGTTAGTAAAGGGAAATCTTTAAAATGCTACTTCCTACATACTTGAATCTAAAAATAGTATAAGAAATAAGAGAGGATGTGAATAAATTAAGAATTTAGATAAATAACATAAAAAGATTATTTAAATCTTTTTATGTTACATATATAAATATTAAAATTTTCTAGTTCCTTTTTATTGGCATTTTACTTAAATAATGGTTGGATATAAACCAATTACAGGTTTTAAAATACGTTACTGGTTAAAAAAAAAAAAAAAATTAAAAAAAAGAAAAAAGGCTTTTTAATTTACAGAACCCCTGTGATCTTTTGATTGAACCCAAAGGTTCTGTGGATACCTTTTGAGAACAGGTACACCAGATCCAAAGATCCATTATAACGTCCAATAAAAACATGTGGGACATCGGAGAAATGCAGAATGAAGAGTTTGAAGACGTAAAAAGTTCTTGTGAAAAATAAACAATAAACGTTTCTAATAAACTGACATTCAGATAAAATTATGTACTTCATACATTAGATTATAATTTTACCTGAATTCTAAGCATTTTGTAACTTCCTTTTGAAGGTGAGTAGCTTCGTACAAAAGATTTTGCCATTGTAGAGTCAAAGCATCTATATTTTGCTTTTTCTGAAAAAAATAGGAAGGAAACAAATTGATGATATAAGAATCTGGAAACTTGAGCAAGAATAAAATTTATATATTTTTTCAATAGAAAAAGAATAGCAAACAATACAGTAGAAATCTGATGTGAATTTTATGGTGACAAGGATTTAGGATAAACATATATATTCCTTTACACACTGGTCTCGGGGAAATTGATATAGCAAAACTCAGACTTAAAGTTACCAGAGAATAAGGTCTTTTCAGCTTGGGCCCTTTTCATTAACTACATCAGTAATGTTAAAAAATACTGTTTTTTTTATAACATCTTCTAATACTACTTCCTAAAATACAGACATTCTGAATCATCATTTTGCTAATTGTTATTTGATAATTTTTACTTAATGTCAAACAATAAAAAAAAAAAATAAATAAATAAATAAAAAACGAGAATGAACTCATGTGCTGGCATCTACTTTGTTAGGGAAAAGTAACTTATACTCTTAATGATGAAATCTTCTAAGTCCACATTTTAAATAGGGATATGGGGTTACAGTTATTTTGTTTTTGTGAAAGCGAAGGAAGAGAAGATAGATATATGCAATGTGATAATGATCTAATGACTTGTGAATCAGAGGCAATTTCAATAACTGATATTATAGAATCTAGTGCTCTTGAAGTGTGTGAAAATGAAATACTGTGAATTTTTAGATACACTACCATTATTTAATGAAGCAGCAGTTATGCTACAGATACTGAAAACATTCTTTAAGTACATGAAGAGTAAGTTCCTTTAGAATAAATGTTAAAAAATAGTAGGAAAAAAAATGCAGTTTTTTTTAAGATTAAAATAATGTAAGCTTTTCTTCTTTACTAAATAAATTTTAGTTTTCGTGGGAGCTTTCAAGACTTCAATATAGCAATGTACAACATTTTTGTCTAGTCCATCGTTAAATCAAGGTTACTATATTTACTTTATGGGGGTCTGAGTTAAATTTTTGAGGTCTCAGATCAACAACACATTCAACCTCTGATAATTATTAAAAGTTTATGAAAATAACTATCACTAGTAAAGAAGAATTACAGTGAACTGTAAGAAATAATGTTATATTATAATAAATTGTCATACTAAAATTAATATTTTCAACTGAAAACAAATACAATAATTTTCTTACTTATAAATATTTTATAGAAATTCATATATATGTGCATATATATACATAATATGGAATGTTTCAGACACATTTCCTTAAATTGTATTTTGGAACAATTAAAATATACGAAAAAATTAATCATATAAATAAAATACAAACATCATTCACAGCATCCCTTGACTTCTTCCAGTGATGTTTATCTAATCGGTTCAACTTTTTTAAACTTATGACCCACATTGTGACGCGGGGTTTATTTTGAAGCAGAAACTCCTATAAAAAAACAAGTACTTTGATATAACTATCAAGCAATCACAAAATTAATATTTAACACTGCACATATAACAAATGCACTCAAAGAAAATAAATTATTATAACTAATTAAAAAAGAATTATCATTAAAATTGAAAGAAAAAAATCAATTAAATTACAAGTAGAATAATCAATTTTCTACCTCATTTTCTTTTCCTTTTTTCACAACCAACATGGACTGAAATGTAGCACGTATTTTCTCACAGATTTCTATAAAACGTAGATGACAATTTTCAGATGCTTCTTGTTCTTCCAAACGAAAACAATCAGTATTTACCTACATTTAAGAAATATTATTTTTTACAAAACAATGAAAACATTATTTAGTAGTAGAAATAATTAAATGTAAACAACATTTTCAATTAATACAATTTTTAGATTAATACTGTATGTTTTATAATTTAAATTTAATGCAAGGCGATTCTCGTAAGATTTATTGAAACTGTCAGAGTATCATATTATATTTGGATTATACTATTACACATCATATGATACTATTTCAAACAAATTTATTTTTTGTTCATAGAGGAACAAATTTTCATAAGGGGTGTAGAAAATTTTCAGAGCCAAATATTTCCCCAGAACAGTTTCTTTAGTTTAAAATTATATATTATAGTTTTATTTAATTATATATTAAACTTATAGTTATATACAATATTTAAGTTATATATTTAATTTATGTGGTTTATACATAGTTTTATTTTTAGTTTAGTTAGTATATATTATAGTTTTTTTTTAGTCACAATAACTTTTTAAAACTGTTTTAGAAAGTAAAGTTTTAATGCTTAAATTACATAATAAATTTTTTCATTAACAAAGAAAAGTATTCATTTGACTTTCACGATTCTTGATTAAACTAACACACACGTTAAAAATAATTGAAATCGAAATATATTGAAATAGTAATAATTTATAAAACTTAATGTAAGGTCCCATTCATAAACTTAAGGAGTTAAAACTAATAAATAAAAAAAGTTTGCTGTCTAGGATATAAATGTTCTATTTATTACTCATGAAAGACTTTTCTGCTGGGACAATTTTCCTTTTATAGGCAGGTGGTTCAACAGAAAATGCTATTAAAAAAATGACAGGGCAATTTGAATTGCAGTGAGTGCAAACTGACATCCATAAGGGAATATCCCCCAAAATAAGGTCATGATCAATTCAGAATTCTCCCTAGGAATAAAAAAGGACATGGCGCAACATCTCAGAAAAGGGCACTATGAGTTTTGAAATGGCACTTACTTACCACCTTTAAAATTTATCAAAATGTGTAATATTATGTTATAACTGAATTTGATCCTCAAAAATTTTTAAATTACTCTCGTATACTATTTTATGTGTATATTTCTAAAAATAATTTTCTCTATTTATTAAATAAGACAAAAAATTGTAGTTTATAAAAATTATTAAAGGCATGTGAAAATTCAATCTCTTTGCATACATTTTTTTTCAAAAAAGTATAAACAGGGTATCTGCTACATTTTAGATTTTCAAATTTATGACTTTTCATGACTACGAGGGGAGGGTCGCTATTTATAATTCTGGCCTAATAATGAAAAAACAAATATGTAGGATCGAAATTGGTTTTATTGTTTTTCAAAATATTCTCCATGATGATCAATACACTTTTGCATGCGTTTGAACCAATTTTCAAAGCACTTTTTCCAGTCCGATTAAGGTAACACCAAAACATGCGTTTTGAATGCATCAACCGTTTCTTCGGGGGTCGAAAATCGTTGTTCACGTAATTTATTTTTGATGTGTGGGAATAAGAAGAAGTCATTGGGTGCCAAATCAGGGCTGTACGGCGGATGACCCATCAGTTCGATCTTTCGCTAGGGTTTATTGCGTTCTTCAGGATTGTCCAATCTGCACGGTTGAACGCATTCTCGATGTCCAGAGCCACCCCAATGGTATGCTTATTCTCTGATTTCTTTTCACAGATGATATCAACAACTTTTTTAAGCGCCTCGTCCGTTCCCCTCCCAGCCCTGAAGCCATATTGATTGTCATTGATGAGGTTTCTTTTCTCAAGATGATATGTTAATCTTTTTGTAAGCATTTTATCTAATATTTTTCCCCGGACGGCTAGGAGCGAGATTGGACGGTAATTGTTTGGCAAGTTTAAATTTCTGTTTGATTTAGGTATCAGGGCGACTCTGGCAATCTTCCATGGTCTTGGAAAATAGCAGTTCATAAAACAAATGTTAAAAAGAGTTAGCAACCAATTTCTATTTGTAAAATAAATATCTTTAAAAATTTCGTTTGGTATACCATCAGGGCCCGGCGCCTTGTCTGTTTTAAGACCGTTGATAACCAGCTCCAGCTCACTTACAGTAAAATTTGGCTCACTTACATTTCTTCTCACAATATCAATTTTTTCACAATTCGTCTCCGGGAAGTGGTGCTGCATGATTCCCCGAACTGATTCCTGGAGGGACTCCGCTGCATTTCCATTAATAAGGATTGGATTTATGATTAGTT